TTGGATCTTCTTATCTCTTATTTGGGTAATAGGATCCAGAGAGTGGAAGTTAATGGACAGAAATCCCTTTTTTACACCTAATGTTACGCAGGTAAATACCAATGTTCTAATAAATGGAAAGGAGTTGGATCTTGTGGACACCACCAAGTTTTTCGGTATAACACTAGACTCTAAATTGCAATGGGGCCCACACATTGACGGATTGTTGAATAGACTCAGCTCTGCAGCATACGCGGTTTACAAAATTCGTCAATTAACCGATGTAGAAACAGCTAGACTGGTGTATTTTAGCTATTTTCATAGTGTAATGTCATACGGTATTTTGTTGTGGGGAAATGCTGCTGACATTCAAAGTATCTTTGTGTTGCAAAAGAGAGCTATTCGTATTTATAATCTCAGTTATAGGCAGTCACTGAGGGATAAGTTTAAAGAAATTGGTATCGTGACAGTCGCATCTCAAAAATTTACTGTATGTAAAGAAAAATAATCATTTATTCACAAAGTTTAGCGACATGCATAAAATAAACACTAGAAATAAAGAAAAACTCGTGTTACCAACCACTAGACTACAAAAAGTAAGCAAGTCTTTTCGTTGTCAGGGTGTGCGATTTTACAATAAAGTGCCAAGCAAATTCCATGAATTAAGTATTAACAAATTTAAGTCTTTAGTAAAGCTAAAACTATGTGAAAAGGCTTACTACACTATTACAGATTATTTAGACGACAAATTTGCTTTGTATTGATGCTGCTCACTCCCACATTTACGTAGACATCTTTGTTGTTAAGTTTGAAAGTGATGGACATTTAATTATTATTTTTTTGGTGTATTTCGTATTTTATTTTTCGTTTTGTGTATGTAAATGTGAGTACAGTGTAGGCTTGTAATGTTAATTCATATTTTATTATCTTTCTGGTGGTTTTGAGTGTTTCCACGGCCTACCCAAATGTCCTGCTGGCGGTAGTGTCATGCTTCGGGTCGTTGATCTTGACCAATATCGGTTAGGCTACACGATGGCTGGAGCCTGTATGCCGTCTGTATGGACAGGCTGACTCAAAACTATGGTCCTTTCCTCAAAAGGCCTATCCAGACCCTATACTACTCGCACAGTTTTATTTAACTTTGTTTACGGACTTAAAAAAAAAAAGACACCTCTGTGGTTTGTTTCGGCGTTTCTTCCCAGAGTGAGTCTTAGGAAATGCCGGCTCCTTCTAGCTATAAAGTCCGACTTGTAAAAATATCTGAAAAGATTTACTTACAGAAATAAATATCATTTATCATTTAATACAATATTTAGTTATTATGGTAACGATTATTAAAGTTAAACCGCGATCTCGGCAGGTGCTAGTATTAAAAAAAATTAAAGTTTATAGGTATAGCAGGTTTGGAAGGAATAATTTTACAAGCAAAATAAGTATTTACAAGATTTCAAATAATAATTATTTAAAAGTTTAACAAAAACGTAAACAAAGTTTTTTTTTGCGCACGGTGCGCATTAAATATGATTGAGGTGCTTAAATTTTTCACATGATCACCCCCACAGTCGCGAACTCTGTGAACGTCGGAAGTTAATAGGTCGTTTTATTGTTATCGGGCGGGCGAGGCCCCATTTCTCGCCTCTTGTAGGCAGCAATCAGGCTCGTGGCGTGTGCCGATCATTAAGCCGTTAGCCGTACCCCACTGAGATGAATCCTTATAAAACAAACTATTATGACACCACTCGTTAAATAATTTAAGGTCGTGTTCATTTTACTTGCTGGTGTAAGAAAGTCAACGCTTATTGCTACTAGTGGATACTTAATAATATTGAATTTATATTCTGAATGTTATCCGCTCTTTTTCTTAGGAATCTCTTTATAGTAATGTTAAGAGGGTGTGGGGTAGAATTATATATTTTGGGTCTAAGAAACGTTTGTCTAAATTATTTATTTGGTTTACGCCTACTAAATTTACCTAACACCCTATATATGTGTACCTAAATACGTACTTATTATATGTGTTAGTATCGTTATTACTGATTTTATATGTATTACTTACTGAAAAAAATGTTAACTCTATCTATATATATATTATGTTATATTTGTCACAAAATCTCTTTTTTAGTTTCTGTGCATCTACCATGTTTTAGCTCTGCATCGCCCTAAGGTCGACTGGTAGAAAATGCTTACGGCATTAAGTCCAAATTTGTCACATTTATATGTGCATAAAGTATAAAAAAATAAAAAATAGATGTATGACGTATACTAAGTACCTATCTATTTAAGTTAAAGGACATCTTTTTTTATTTGTTGACATCCCTTCGGATCACCTGCTCTTTGGGGACTCAGGAGCCAAGAGTAGGTGGTGATTCCACTAAAAAAACCCGACGGTTAGCCTACCAAAGCCCTTTATCAAGAATCAAACTATCTCCATACCAAATTTCATCTACACACACACACATCTTACAAACTTCCACCCCCCTTTTCTCCCCCTTAAAGGATGATTTCCTATGTCCTTTTCAAAGACTTGGACTATCTCTATAGTGAATTTCATCTAAATCGGTTCGGCGGTTTAACCGTGAAGAGGTGAGAGATAGACAGACACACTTTCGCATTTATAATACTAGTATGGATTAAAGGACGTTTGTCGATAGTCTGGTAGGATTAGTTCCTTGGTTAAATCATTCTGTATTCGTCGCAACATAGTCGCAAAATAGCGGCGGCCGAATTAAAACATAGGTGTAAAACATGTAAGTCTCAAAAAAACATAACGCTAAGTTAAACGAAAAGCATTAGAGTATGCTTATCGTCTTCAAAAAATGAAAAAGAAACACTGCCAGCCAAGGAACAGAAAACGTATTCTTAGTTTCACATAAAAAAAGCTATGAATATCATTTAATTATAACCGGTCACCTTATTAATTTATTTTATTACTTATAATTTCAATATTTTTTTATGTTAGAGGGGGCAGACGAGCATACGGGTCACCTGATGGAAAGTGACTATCGCCGCCCATGAACGTCTGCAACTCAGGAGGTAGCATCAGACATGTCCGTTGCCGGCCTTTTAGAAAGGAGTACGCTCTTTTCTTGAAGGTTTGAAGGTCGTATCGGTCCGGAAATACCGCAGACGTTAACCCTTTCCACAGATTGGTTGTGCGGGGCAAAAAGATGGACACACACAAATGTGTCTTTTATCATACCTTCTCATTCATGTAGGTATAAACCATAACAAGTTCTGAAAATAGTAAAATATCACATCTAAGGATAGCAACTAACTATCCAGTGAGTTTTTTCTGTGCATTTACATAAATCATAGTAAATGTATCTATGGATATACTGCTATCTCTGTTGCTAATTTCATCCCTGTGTCATAAATCTTAAATTAAGTAGTGACCAACTCCGAATACACACAATGTGTTCGCAAACAAATTGAGTTACAATTCATAACAAGGTCAACAAGTGTGTAATTAGAATATAATACAGCGAACAGTGTGGTAGGCATAATTATTCGAGTTCAAATACGAAACAAAAGGACGTGTGTGCATCCATTTAGAATGTACAAAGCGAACGACTATGGGCGCCGTGCAGTCGCGTTGTGGCTCGGAACCCTCGCGTGAGCGTGTGCCCTCTGTTACTACCCCATGCTATGCACAACACTATATCTATACAAAATGTATCGATCACATCGGACGGCGTTGTTACTTGTAGTGTGGCCCTCCATATTTGAATTCGATGTGTTTTTCTGCGAGCTGTTGAGGTACTCTTTATACAGTTAATGTAAAATATTGGGATTAATTGTATTAAGCTCTGTTTTTAATCTTTTATATTTCCCATCCGTATATGTACAACCAATTCAATGAAAAAAGTATTGAAATTGATACAAAAATGACGACGATATCATACGAAGAGCATACATAAAAAAAGTATCAGCCTAATTGAAAATTTCAGTCATTTTCAGGTTTAAGAATATGATGTTATTATGAAAGCAGAGTAGTTTGTTTGTCAAGGTTTCACGTCTTAACAACTCGAAACACCGTCAAACCACCGAGCATTATAAAATGTTGGCATACTCGTTGTCTGGGGTACAGGAAAGTTCATCATGCCATCATCCAGAAAATAAAAACTATTCTCAGAAATCCTCCCAGATCAGTCTTCTAGTCAATACTTTAAAATTTTTACATTTTAAAATACAATACAGCATTTTAAAAAAAATCAAGAAAGGTATAAATGTCTGTATAGGGCAGGATTCTGAATTATCGACAGTATATTCTCCCGCCCTTAACTCGGACACTATGGGGAGACGGCATAATAACATAATAATGTTGACATTCTCTTCTCAGGCCGGCTCTATTTACGAGCACGTATCCCCACGTATTGATACTAGAGATCTATCGATTTTGCGTTCCGTGGGAGATTAAGCCCCAAAACGTTTACACTAAGCTCCTCCCGGCGAGATGCTAAAGCTTTCATGCAAGATTAAGTTGATAAGGATTGTATGGGATGTTGTGGAATGCATTGCATTATCATGTAGAAATGAGTTTTTATTTTTGATTTCTACAACTAAGTATGTATGTATTTTTGTTTTGAGATTCTGTACTTGAGAGTAATAAACTCTTTAGGTTATGATACTAGTTTCAAATCTATTGAATCCATCTTCTCTAAGTTGTTTATTTAAGACTATTTCTTATAAATCTCATTCTGTGGTTGTCTCTTTGCCATATTACGAGGTAAGTTGATACTTGTTGAAACGAGACTGCTTATCTATATTTAATAAAGCAACAATTATACGTTGACAGTCATCAGTCATTACTCAGTTTTAGATGTAGTACTACTACAGTATCTACTCATATAAATAACAGGACATAACAGTGTAGATAACTGCTTCAAACACACTTAAATATAATTACGTGTAAACAAATATAATGACTTGTAATATGAGTGACAGCTATTGACAGAGATACCACTGAAGAAGTTTAAAGTATGTATGTATCGGTGTTAATGCCACTCAATCTCGATGTCCAGGTGATGCACAATACAAACCTTACGTGACGGCGCGGCCTGAAATTGCGACGGTGGAGTTAGACGGAGATGAGGACTTTGTAGTGGTAGCCTGCGATGGACTCTGGGACTTTGTGAGTGAAGATGACGTGGCATTATCTGTGTACCGACAAATTGCTGCGGATCCTGGTAAGTGTAAATTTTCTATGATTATTACAACATAATTTGCCTTTTATAATATGATTACCTACTTCGATGCGCCTTAATCATGATAAATTGTAATAAACAGTATTCTTCATTTCTTAATTTTCACCCTTAGGGGTGTAATTTTTTCTTCAAATTTGAATAGGTTAAAACAGGAAGTATTTCTAATAAAGATTGATCAGATTGGTTAAAAAGTGACGAGAGCTCTGAGGTAACAAACACGAAAACAAAACCAACCAACAAATACTAAATAAGTATATATTAAAAGTGTAAATCTGAATATTTTCAATCAACACGGTATGGTTCTTTATTAAATGTACTGCCTACAAAAACTGGCCAATTCAGCTGGCCTAGGAAACGAATGATTGTCAGGTTCAGTTCAACCTGTAGCTAGAATATAAGCAGAATCCAGATTCTGATAACTCCAGAGTTATTATTAAATATATAAATGAAAACAAGTGACTGCACGGATTTCATAGTGGTTTAAACAGTCGCCACGGCGCTTCCTAGTACGCTGAGTGTTGAGTGTTTGATCCCCACAGGGGAGGAGAATTTGTGTGATCCACAAATGGTCGTTCTGAATATGGCTGTTCTTTGTGTTCGTTTCATGTATGATTGTAAAGTCTCCCGCCACACAGGTGTATTCCTAGTTGGGATTTGTCTTAAAAAATATATACGAAATCGGTATTTAGACAAGTCAAACTGTATCTAGCTCTAGCTTGTTAGTGAACACTGTAATTGAAACTAAAATGAACATTGAAATATTTGGCAGTCACAATAATCCAAGGTGTATAATGTTATTTTCTGTAGCGGTCTTATGATTAATTATGCTTCAGCGTAAGATATAAGTATTTTATTACTCCTATTTCAAGAACTTAATATTTCTGAGCAGAAAATTTGTATGCTTGATTGAAAGTTCTGCAATTAATTTCTAAGCGTTTTTTCAAATATATGGAAAGTTATTACAACAGTGAAACAAACAAGTTACACTTGTTATATCCACTTACAATGTAACTTCAGAATTTGACGTAACTTAACAGTTTTACTAAACAAAGTTTGGCAAGTATTGTGTTTACGGTTGAAAACCGGTTCGTTTACGTTTGTGCAATGTCTGCTATCTATCAATCGCTCCGCGTCGACCTTGACGCTCACAATACTTCACAATAACTGCGTGAGTCACCGCGACTCACCAGACAGAATAGTGACAATTACACGTCAAAACAATATAACCTGCATAGTTGCTAATGAACTATCTTTGAAAATATTAGTTTACATTTTAGTTTACAGTTTTACAGTTACTACATGAGTAAAAGACAAGCACAAGTCTGATCGATATGTCTTGGAGTAAGTTCAAAATTTAGCCTTAAGGTATGATTCCGAACTACGCTGCACGCAGCAGTGCTGTCGCGGCACTACTGGTCCCCATACAATCTCTATAAGCTTATATGAGATTACATTCCGAGCTAGGCAGCAATGTCGCGGCAGCAATGTAGCGGCAGCACTGTTGCGCGTCAGTGTCGCCCTACCGCCGCGACAGACCAGTCAGTGACGCGTCTGCCGCCGCGAGAAACTTTTCCTTGCGAGAAACTTTTGCTTCAATTTTGTCAGCAATTAAACTATGAATAAAACTGAACTGTTTTTTATTTAAACGACAGTACTCTCTGATTTTTTCTTCATCGCCTATCAAATGGTTTTTAATCAGCGTCTTGTAACATCCTTCCCGTTGTCTGCTTTTATAAAACAAATCTGGTGCTTTTCTTTTAAATTACTATTGGCATAAAGCAACAACAAATCATCGTCATCTTCTTCCTCTTCCAACAGTATAAATAAAAGTTGGTCATCAATCGACATCTTGTAAACTCAAAGTAAACTAACGAATACACAACAACGCATCACCACGAACAGAGCGACACTGCCGCCTTGCTCGGAATTAGCGCGGCAGGCAGCACTGTTGGGCAGCACCTTAGTGGCAGCACTGCGGCAACAGCACTGCTGCTTGTTGCCGAGTTCGGAATCACACCTTTACATGATTCTAGAGATGGTTTAATGAAATGTTTACAGAACCTGTTCTATGAATGTTTGTCTAAAACTTCTATCGCAGTGGTTGGCTATGAAATTCACTCTTACTGTGCCACATTTGAGGACTGATTATATATTAATACATAAAGAACACGTTTTTTTTCGCGGACTCGGCAATGTAAAATTGTGAAGGCTTAAAACTTACAGAAGTGCAGAAAGGTTTTAACGCTGCAAATGATCGAAATTATAAAATTTTCGAAGTAGCATTTGTCATTTCTTACTAAATATGTGTTGTTAAAAATGGTAAAAAAGAGATACAAAAAGCAACTATGCAATTAGTTTCAGAATATTACTCCTCGCTAAAGGTGCATTGCTGTTGGTATACTCATTGAGCTTTATGCGATGTTTCTTAAGTACTTAATAGTTTTATATACATTATATATTATATATATATTCGTCCACAAATTTAACAGGTTAACCGTTGCCTGTTCGTGTCGTAACAGGCAACGGTTAACCTGTTAAATAAACTTACAATGAATAGTACACCTGTGCCTCCATCACTTCAACGAGGAAATACCGACCAAAGCAATTTTTTACTCGTTTGATTCGTTCTAGCAATGCCAAACATGATCTACCCATTGAAATACCATTTTTGCCGCGTTCTGACAACATAGATAATTAATTAATAAAGCGATTTGGCTGGCATCAGCGTTTGGCACAGATCATGTTTGATTATCTTGTTATAAAGGGTCACATGATGGCGCGATATATACTTGTTATGGAAACAAAGTGCCCTTGTTCGAACATATAGTTATATCTTTGACACACATTATCCCCCACGCTGCTCCCGCTCACTTTATAAACTGGAATCAGGAAGGGTACTGGGTACAAGTATTATGGTTAGAACAATAACTTTGACACCCTCAATTCTTTGTGAAGTGTCTTTAATGGAACGCGAGACGCTCGCGGCGATAAGAGCTTTCCAGCTTTCCTGGTTCAAAAGATTTTTTTTTTCTTTGTTTGCAAATATGAATGTTTGTATTGTTCCCCGAGTCGGGAGAAATGGGGTTGAGTGAGACTATTTTTATTAATTGCAGTAAGAGATGCAGTCTTATGTTTCTGTACCGCAGGTGGTATTACAGTCTTATTTTATGTAGGTCATAGATTTCCTGTATGTTTTTTAAAAGAAGAGATTATATAGTATTAAAACATTTTTATTTCTATAGAAAGCTTCAATTTCAATTAAAAACGTTACTATGCATCAAGAGTAGTAAATGTCAAAGAAGTGAATGCCATAGTTATGTACGACCGTATTGCTCCGAGCTATCTCTTTTAAACTTAATTATATTCTTAAGTTTTTAAACAATTAATTCATGGTCATTCTACAACTAACAACTAGTAGAAGTATATATGAAATTATTGAGTTGTTCGAGATCTTTTCACTTGTCACTTTTCGCCAGTGCACATCTTACGAAACTTAGGATGGTGTAAATGCTGCTAATGGAGTTTTCTATTGTTATTAACGTTAACGCATGGTTATAACACTTTATGATGTTATAATCCGACATGTCGACGCGTACATTGTCATCGCCATTAGCCCTTACAAGGGAGGGACCCTAATCTAATAAATGTTGGGGTCTATTGGTTTTGTACCTCGCTAATGTAATAATTGCTTAAATATTCTGCCTTAAGCCTGTTATGTAAATACAGCCTGCGGAAATGTTCAATTCTCGTAACTGAATTTGGACATTGATAACGATTTATTCACTTTCACAAAAGTAACCTGTGAAAGTATTTAACTGAGTAAATTCACGTTTCATTATTTTCGAGAATACTTACTTATTGCGTTTCAAAAAACATTTCATTTTCTTTTGTTTGTGCTGCGCCCTGCTATTTAAACGTAAAAGAAAACACCTGTAATGTCGGTACCTAAGTTCGCGAACAGGTTCTTGGTTTGAATAGATCTTGCGAAAAAACCGGTCGAACAATAAGAATATATTTTATGTTCCGTAACGAGATTGTTTCGGTGCCTAGATTTCAGTCGGGCTGCGGTTAGACTTAGCCACCACAGCCCCACAATATTGTGTCGTAATTGCGTCGGAAGTTGGGAAGTGGAGAAATTGGATACTTTGTTTTGCCCCCTATTGTAGCCCTACGCCGCGCCGTCGCGCCTCGCGCCTTGCCCTCCCTCACCCGCCTATACGAAGCCTTTCTAACTGTTACTTTTCTAAATTGCATGTATATGCAGTATTTCGTTACCGCATGACAATTATAAGAGAATAGAAAATGAAACAGGAAATAACTCAATAAAATGTGCAATCTTATTAACTTGGTTATTAACTTTTCGAGTATAGAAAACGTCGTTCTAATTTGCTTTTCTAAGCTGTTAGGTTTATCTAAACGTTCGTAAATAGTGAAATACTCGCGTGTTCTTTCTGTTTCAAGCATTGAAGTGTACTAATCCCGTCTCATTGGATTAAGCTATTCGAATGTTTAAACTGTCGCGAGTGTTAAGTTCAAACAGGGGAGGACGCGCGTCCTAAATACACCCCGGGGCCACGATAGGTCAGCCTTTTAATTGTAAAGTCCTTATAGTTTCACCCTTATTGCATAAAAATAAAGTTTATAATCGACTATTGTATTGACGATGTAGGCTCTTGTGTCATCGGTCAAGTCTTCTCGTAACACTTTCTATCCTTGCAACACCACTCGGTTGAAACCAAATAGCGACTGTCAATTCAAAGTGTTTTGGAGTATATTGACAACAGTTATTAGTGCTGTGGAATAACCCATTACTTGTGTGCAATACATTGAATTGTTTAAGGATGATAATAATCGGACTATAGCACGGTTGTATAATATGGGATGTAATAACTATGTATATAGAACGCTATATAATTGGTTAAATTGACAAGTAACAGTACGAAAGTATGTTAATCTTTCAGTATTTACATTTTTAAATTTTAATATTTCTTTGATCCTATTTTTCTAAGGCGCTAAC